TGTTGTTATGCACACGATTCATATCAATCACAATTCAAAAAAAGTTGGTCGCATATGGATGGACAGGTTACAATTGGCGAAATTTACGTCACGACTCATTTCTAAATCAAACAACATCAATTTCTATAAAACAATACTTTCAAATAACAACTCATACCCAATTCATTCGCTACTAAATTGAACTGAACACACCTTACAAATATGGTTGAAGGCGACAGCGAGCTTACCACATGTATTTATTGGCAACAAAGCAAAGGAACGTGAAGATAGTTTTCGTGCGATCGTGCAAGAGAGGGGATTGTACTTGGGATACAAGTGGTTTTCTAAAAATAAGGAAGTGAAGTTGTTTTTCAATTTTGAACCACTTAAATTACAGGGAGACACTCGTAATTAGATTTAATATTTAATTATTACATATTAAACACATGGTTTATGAATAATTAAACCTTAAACCTGATTTTAGAATTGTACTCTTCAAAACCCGCTGCAATGTAATTTTCATTTTAAAATTTTATGATTTTCAGAATATTTTTAGCCCCTATTTGGTTTAGATAAAAATAATTTATTTCTTTCAGATTTTGATAAAAGTCGATGTAATATGTGTTTGAAAAGTTGTGGATTGCATGAAATATGATTAAAATTAAGACTTGGGCCAATTACTCAAACTTTAGAATTGGTTGTAAATATTCAAACATGAGATATTTACCTTGAATTGGAAGGGTGCAATAAGTCCACAATTGGACAATGATAGAACCTTAATAGAAGTAATTACTCCAATGCTTTGAAGGCTCATATCAACCGAGGAAAAATCCACGAACAAGTTGTAAGTGCTATGCCCTACGTCCAATCAATTTTGGACGTAAACACTTTAGATATATATAATCGATGCATATGTATGGCAATATCTATTATTTAATTGAATTAATATTCTAATAAATTAAATAATAGAATCCGTAGATTCAAGTCTTGGTGATTTGTTAATCACAAGGAGTTGTGATTGTGAGATACAAATTACATATGANAATAGAATCCATATATTCAAATCTTTGTGATTTGTTAATCACAAGGAGTTGTGATTGTGAGATACAAATTACATATGATCGAATCTTAAATCGTTCGTGATCGAAATAATAACGAGATAAGGATATCGTTATTACGGATAGATCATCACGTGTGGCATTCTTACTTGTGAAGTAAGTAGCTGATCTCACAATCTTAAGTGTGGTGACATTTGAATGAACACGTAAATGTTTTGTTATAAAACAAAACATTGGAGATCCGCTGGGAAATTCCACATGGATAACTATCTGAGTGTTAGTGGTTAATCTCTAACGTTCGGTAATGGAATTGGTCATTTGACTTGAGGTCTTCATAGTGCCTTATATGAGGACAGTCATACGTTGGTGATGTTGGATGTTGCTCTGTTAAGGGTCGCTAATACAATATCGTTCGGGTATGTCAAGAATCATATGAAGGCTGTGAATGATCAATAGAGGATTCGTCACTCTTAAATAGTAAAAGATTGTGATATACATTTTATCTAGTTAAGTTGATA